TTTCAGAATTTACATTATAGTAATCATACTGAAAATCATTATATTATATTATATTATATTATATTATATTATATTATATTATATTATATTATATTATATTATATTATATTATATTATATTATATTATATTATATTATCAGAAAATACATTTTAAAAACTATAGTTGTGTTAGAGCATTAAAATTACATTTTAAAAGTAAAAATAAGATATCGTATAGTATATGTATTATGTAACATATACATGCAACAAATACATCTCTAGAACGTTTTTAAATGATATTTATTTTGAGTTTGAGGAAACAGATTTATTTGATAACACTCAAATGTTATGAAAAGTCTAAGAAATCCAACCCCTTAAATATATACTATAAATATATACAGTAACAAATAAAATGTTAAATGCATTATAATCCAACAGTGTAAAATACAGAATATTTTCGCAACATTTGTACTTGATTTAATCCTTACATTTTGGTTCAATTTTTGTTATAAATATGTCACTAACACTCCTATATTTTTAAGCATTTTATTGAAAAAAATATTATTGCATTGAACTACAGTCCAAGTAATTTATTCAACAATCTAAAAAAAAAAAAAAAGCTTCTTTGCATGTACAGTAGTGCAATTTACTTAGCCACAGTATAATCAAAATTGCTTTGAACAGAGAATACAAAATAAAGTGATTGGCTTATACATATTGCAGACCATCTTTTCGTATCACTTAAGGTAAGTACTTTTTTTTAGGGTTCGATAAGGGGGAGCTTTGTTGTACAGAGCTACACAACCAATTTAAATTTCAGCTACTTAAAGAGTCTCTCACCTATTAAAGCAAACGACTGACCAATTTGCACAGGCTTAAAATTGTTTCTTAAAATTGATTGTCTCAATATGATTATTTTAAAAAGATAACACTGTAACAAATGTTCTGTTTCCAACAAATGAATTCAACAACCTAAGAACAAAGGGTATATTAAGAACACACACACAAACAAACATACGCATTCATACATGTTACACTTTTTCTGAATTCCTGTATTGTTTTTTTGTTTGTTTGTTTGTTTCTGTTAAGGTTTTCCTTGATCTCAATATATAAGAGAAGTGGTCAGTTGCAAAAGGAAGAAGTGACTTTGAGAAAGGAATTCAAAAATTGGATTGGAATCACTTATTCTTATATATAGCTTCCGAGAATGAAAATGACCCTTTAGCTTATCTCTCAAATATCGGCTTATTCTAAACCTAACCCGTTTTTCCATCGGTACCATTTATAATAGAGTTTAAGTCCCGAAAGTACCCCACTCATCACCAACTATCCATCTAATGGGAGTGGATAATATTTTTGCTGGAACAAAATGATAACCTTTGAAAATCCCCTGACCTGACCCACGCTTATTGGCTGGAGAACTGCCATTCCAAACTTTCCATCTTACCGAAGGGCTTCCTGTGTGAAACACAGAGAGCACGCATGCATCTCTCCAGCTTCTGCATGAAGATGGTCACCCTCTGCGTTGTAATAATGTTTCTGTTAGTCAGCGGGAGTGCATCCCACTTTAGGAGTTCATAATTCAGGGAACCCTACTTCAGCCTCTTCCTTAGTGCTGCTGAGGCCGAGAACACTTAGATCATTACCACACTTAATTAGACTAGCTGCCTACACAGAGGTGTGAGATGTGGGCCTTGATGGTGTGATTTCAGAAAGCTGGATCTGATATATCCAATTTTTTTTTCAGAATATTTAACAACCATCCTTGAAAATCATAAGAAATATTTTTAAGAAAAGATATAGATTTGTACTGTGTTTTTGCATTACTGTCAACGTTACCCCAGCAACTTTTTAGACAGTCACTCTACTAACATCCTGGGAGGGATGTTTCATTTATTACGATATAGTGTTCTGTAATACTCGTGGTATTCCAGCATGCCTGTCTGCAGACCATCTTGGTATCTCCAGTTACCTTATCGAATGCTTGAAGAATAACTGTGTTTTTCACAAAACTTCAAAGTATTGTTAAATTTTTAGAAAACTGCATTGCTTCAGTCCTTCTTTCTACAGAAAGCTTTCTTCGAGGAGACAGACCATGACATGTGATCCTGAGTAACCTGACTGATTAAATATTCTATATGATGAGAATGTTTTATAGGGTTAGTTCTTTAGAAACGTATTTCTACCCAATGATAGCAGAGATCAACTTAGACCTGACAGAGACTGAAAAAGGTAGGCACCATGGAACCCAATTTTCTGTGACAAAGAAATCTCAGATCAGTCTGAAAAATGTCTCTCTCCAGGGTGGAGGGGCAGGGGAGATGTCAAAGCCTGAGAATTAGGAACTTTGTAAATCACTCTCTACTGTCTAATCACTTCTCAGATTTAATTATTTATAACATGTAGAAAGGTGAACTTCAAAAATTTGATAGAGAGTAGATTTTTATAGCCCCCATTGTACCTTTTTCTTGAAAAATTAAGTAATGAACTTTGCTCATTTGCCAGTTTATCACACAAAGCACTTACTTTATTGAATCCTGCATGAACTCATTGAGGCTACGTGATGGTGGAATGACTCTGAATCTTTAGGTATAAAAATACATAGACGTACTTGCATATGTGTGTGCCCATATGTGAACATATATATAAATATTTTGTAGCTTTTATCGACAGTATTTGCCTTTAGCTTTGATTCTTAGGTAGAAAAAAAACAAGGCCCAATGACTAAGTGTAAAGAGTAAACTCACAAAGCACTTATCTGATACATTTAGCATTTAATAAAAACAAAATAATGCCCAAGTCAATTATCAAATAATTTGAAGGATGTGCTACAAAAAGTCTTATCCATCAGAGATTCTGTTTTAATGGGCATCTTTTAGAAAAAGATGGTCTTCTTTCTGCTTCTGCTTTCCAAGAATGCACTCCTCTAAAGGTAAAATGGAATCTGAAATTCAACATGAGTGCTGACCTCATTGATCAGGTGGATAGAGGTTTATTAATTGTTCCTTCCCTCTATTTGATGCCACAACTTTTATACCTTGTTTTCTTCGAGTACAAGAGTTATTTTTGTTTCATTGGCCACATCTTGCTGTTGTCTGTGGTGGGATATTCAGTGAGCACTCTCATCATTGCTAGTGAAGGATGGAGCAGACATTTCCAAACTACCGGCTTACATTGATTGATCTAGCGAAGGTACCAGTAGAAAAGTTCCCTGGTTTAACCATCGGAGATTCTAGACTGTCTCCAAGGCAATTTAAAAATTAATCAAGTGATCTGTCTCTTCTGTCATAAAACTTCCAGCGACAGTTCAAGAGCACCCTGCCTTGGCTTTGTGCCATCCTTGTAATCTGATTCATGAACTAATTATCCACAGCGTATTTAGATTGGGGGGGGGCAAGTTATTATCCACATTTATAACAACACTTGCATTCATTTTCTTTTTAGGACAATTTATCCCAAATGCACTCAATTTTAATAATTACTTTTTGGAGTTATATGTAAGTATGGAGGTTCTTGCTATTTGATAAATACCTCTCTCTCTCTTTCTCTCTCTCTTTCTATTAATTTTAAGTAAGTCAGACTCTGTCCCTTATATATTCCAATAAAACTCCTCATCTACAAATGTTTGTTGTTACTTTGGTAAACACAATTGTTCTTTATGTCAATATTTTAAATTTACTTTTTCTTATTTCCCCCCGTTCTGTTTTTCTCCTTGGCAGCAAAGATTATCTTTTCTACCACATATGAAAAATCAGCTATTTAAGCTTCTTGATTTCATTGAGCAAATGAGAAATGCTAATATTGATCTCTACAGATGCGGGGAATGTGAAAATGCGGGCTGTTTCACCCGGCTGAAGTGAAATACCTATCTTCAGCGAATGCCGCTCCCTTTCCCCAAGGCTGCTATCATTTCCACCTTCATCTCATTACTAGATGTCAGACAACCCCGTTCTTTTAGTTTCCGTTTTCATAAGCCCATAGTTATGGGAAATGTAAGTAATGTTTTTATAAGGGTATTAAATTATACACCAAACACATGACAGTCCGCAAATAAAATAAGAAGTAGAAAGTCTATGGGCCAGGAAGTCTTTTGAATGAGTGTTTGATTACATGGATGGTAATTTGTTTTACCATCATAAAACTCATTCTTTCTAAGCCTTGTGCTCCTTATTCCTGAATACAATGAAGTTTCTGAGTGGTAAAGCAAATAAAACTTGATTCAATTCTTTTTTTAGTTCTTGTAATATTTGAATTCAAATATGTATGCAATGTTAATCTGTGGATATTTTCTTTTTTGTTTATCAAATGCTAATAATATCTTTTGTATACTCTGTAATAAAAAGTTTAACCATTCTTTATTCCTGATGTTATTGATTCATACAAAGTTATCTTGATATAGTTACATATGAAGGGAAGCAAAATTGTCTTTCACAGAATTTCTATAATTGTAAAGTTAGTGTAGTTTGTTTTCAGCTTGTATTAATCAGAATATTTTTTATAGCTCAAAGGTCCTATGAAAAACACATTAAAAGACAATATAATTGGTAGCACAGCCAAAGTTTAACAATAGTGACTATTCTAAATCATTGGTTCATTTTACTGATATTTTAATACTATCTGAAAAATAAAACTGAAATTCACGTTCATTCACCACTCACTCATCAAACACTTCAAACATAGGGTATTCTGTTTTTTTTTTTTTACTCATAATATTTATGATATGCCAGAATGTTTCTGTTACCAGATTATAACACTGACAACTCTCCTCAGACCATTCTTTAATACTCCCCAGAACTTCATCCCATAAATTATTTTAATTTGCTGTATTATTTTTGAGAAGTTCTTTAAAATGTTCCCATTTCAATAATGATGATACCATTTACATTTATGCATGAGTTACATTTGGAATTGGCACCATAATTTTAAATCTTACGATAACAAGAGAGACGGTATTAATGCATTGCTTTACAGGTAGAAAAAAAATCTGTGTTACTTATTCATAAGACAAGCTGTAATAGCTATTAGTTCAAGTGTAGTGCCATGTTTAAGGCCTCCTTCACGCTATTTAACTGTTGCATCTGACTGGAGCAAGAGTGATGGCAAAGATCTTGACCTTGTAGCATTGGCTGGATTAAAGGATTCAGGTGGAAGATAGAAGTTGTGGCTGGGTTTAAATGAGGACCAAACAAGGTGGGGATAAAGGCTGCAGAAGGCAGGGGCTGAAATGCTATATGCGATGGGTGAAAGGGGGCGGTGGTGACTAAGTGCAGGGGATGACCTAGGAAAGCAGTGTGTGCAGGGATAATGGCTGGAGCCATGGCTGAAAACGAAAAGGGAGTAAAGTGTGGCTGTGGTAGAGGGTGTAAATGAGCGATGGGGAGGGGACTGCTGTGAGAACTTATGGAAGCCGAAACAGCAAAATGCTGTAGGAACGTGTGGTGGATGGTGGTGATGGATGTATGCTGGTGGACTGGAACTGTCTGCACGGCTGAGGCTGGGGAGAAGGCAGGGGGCCCTGAAGCGGGCAAAACTCGGAGATGCTTTGACAGGAGCTGCTTCTGCATGTGCTGCTGTGCTTGTAGCTGAAGGAGCTTGTACTTATCCATTTCGTCGGGGGAAAATGTTATGGGCTGTTGAATTAAAGGGGGTGAGAGAGATTTATGACACACTTCTAATTCATCTTCCGCTTTGTCATTCTTCTGCATTGTTCTGTCATAGTAAGAGTTTATATTCCCCTCTACATGATTTATAGACATGCTTACATCCTGTGAGTCTAGATTTATCTGCTCCTCTTTGGTCTCTGTTGAATTGGTTACACCAGTATATCTATTAGATGGAAAAGCACCGAGGAAATCATTTGGTACTGGGTCACAGCTTTGAAGAAAAGGTTGGACTGTGCTAATTGAAGATTTAGATTGCTCTTTTGTTGTCTGGTTCTTTTTTCCACTTGAAGACTGAGAGCCTGGCATTGAATGACTTAGGCCTGTGGAGAGATAGTTTTCACATTGAGTGTCTGTTAAAATAGTAAAACCAGGTTTTTGTAAGTTTTCAACTCTTTCTTTGTCAGCAATCTGGTGAACTCTATGGCCTTTATTATCTCTTCTTTTGCACATATGTTGTCTCTTCTTCAAAAAAGGCAATGCCATTCTGTTGCTATGTTGCAGTTCAGGTTGAACTGTGTGTTGGATTTGTGAATGAGTCTCTGATTCTTTTAAACAACTGTTTGGGGAGATCCTGAACTTTTTCGATTGCTCCTGACACTTCTTGGCTTGCACTCTTTCTAGAAGACCCTTGGCTGTCAGGGATGGCCTTTCTCCATCTGGAATGTTTGACTGTGTGGTTTCTGAAGGGCCGGCTACACAGCTCCTTGGAAGGTAGTTGAGCGTGTCTGAGTTGCATTGTCGCATGCACTTGACTTTTCCCACATCACAAATGTGAAGTCTGGCCAAAGACTTTTGGCTTCTCTTGTTTTTGTCTAAGCAGTAAGCTCTCTGTCTCAAATAAGAGCCTGATTTGCTGTGCTGAGGTCCCTGACCAATCAAGAGCTTATCACTATTTGCATCAAGGGAAACCTGTGAGCCAGAATCACAATGACAAATTCTTGGGGGCTTGGGACCTGTGAACGGGTGATTTTTACCCAGCTCATACCTTTCTCTGCACTGACAGTCTCTGTGTTTTGATGGTCTTTTAGTTTTAAATAAGTCCCATCGGTTACCATTGCTGTCTCTCTGTGTATCTGAGTGAGGACAGTTACTGTTTATTGGTGCATCAGACAAATAGAGACAATTGTGCTTTCTGTTTTTCCACATGTGCCTCTCAGCTGAGTCACGTTCTCTTTCACAAAGGTAGAGCAGGTGACTGCTGTCACTGCCATTGGGCCTATAACTTGAACATATGTTTCTCCAGCTGGACACGTTTCTGGAAGCTTCATCCAGAGTTCTGGGGTGGCCCCTCAGAGGTGACACTGACGAACGTTTCCCATGATTTCTTTCCCCATTTTTGGAAGCTCCACTGGCCATGCTGGTGTTGCAGGCATTGAAACTTCCACTGATGTCCTTCCCATGTTCAGAGGGATCCCCTGAAGTGTAAGAACTGAAGTTCCAGGTACACTGATTTTCTTCTTCGGACTCTGAATGTGAACTGCAAGGATTCAGCTTATGCGTTCTAGTCCTAGAAATGTGAGGCGAGCAAGATAGACCCTCCTGAACATTATTTTGAACTGTCTTTTTGCAGCTTTTCCAGTGGACATTTGAGAGTTCCATAAATTCAATATCATCGCTATCATCATTTCCTAAGCCATCCGTTAGAGACAGATTAAGGTAAGCAGGCACTTCAGGACTTTTCATTTCCAAGTCTCTTAGACTACCATGTTCACTCATAGTAGAGTCAGAATCATTGTAGCCCAAATTATATTTTCTCTGGATCTTTTCCCAATCTGGGTTAGCCATAAGCATCTTTGGTTTCAGAGATTGTTTATCTTGGGTCAATTTTTGTTGTTCTTTAATTAAACCTGAGCCTTGGCTCTCTGTTTTTGTCTTCTTTTCCAAAACTTCTTTCTCCAATTCTATTTTTATATTCTCTGAACTATGTTCATCCTTTGCGTTTCGAGAAAGTTTGAAATCAAAATATAATGGATTACAGCCATAAGATATGCAAGGTTCTGTTCTGGTAAAGAACAGAAGTTCTGTGGGCCACTTTAGAGTAGTGTGACCATCCTTGCTCTGTACATGGATGAAAGGCAGTGTTTTGGATTTTACATCATGTGGACAACTTTCTCTGCAAAGTCTTTGCACATTTTTGCTGTCTCTTTCTACTTCATCTAGAGACTTTGCTCTGTCCTCCGTTCTAGAGTCAGGATTCCGTTGTGCTTTAGTCTTTTGTTCACTTGGTCCTGAAGGCAAAAACTCACCCAGACTTTCATACCACCTATTCTCACTATGCTTGCAAATGTTTGGTGGACCGGAGGGTTCATTTGCTTGGCATGGATGATTAATGCAGTTTTCTGAAGTATCCTTCAGTGCATTCCTAATTTCTTTCTCTCTGCTGGAAAGGGTAAAATCTGTTTCTGAAAGATGGAGGTTAGACTTAGAGAAAGCACGGTGGATGCCTGCTGAATCTTTCAGTCTTCCATTAAAAGATTCATTTTTGTTTTTTGAAAATTTAGGGTTCATCAAAAAGGTGTTGTTTAAAACACCCTCCAGATGGCTCGATGAGATGACACCTTCTTTCTTTGGAAGGTCTGGATCTTCACTTGCAAATCTGCAACACTTGCAGCTCTCTACTGCTTGTTTGACTTTATAGGTGGGTGACTTGTTACATTCATGGGTGTCTTCTGTGTTCTCGCTGAAAACCGAGGCAGAGGATTCTAATTTTAGGTAGGCTTTTTTTGAAAATGAAAATGAAACTCCTGTCCTGTGACTTGCAGTGCCGAGATCTGAAGATGTTTGTGTTGTCTTGTTTCCAAATAAGTGCCGCCTGTCTGATTGTAGCTGTTGTCGGCTTGGCGTGGCAAACCGCTGCTTATCCATGCTGCTTCTGGCCACACTCTTTCCCTTAAGGAGAAGAGCGCTCTTCATGCAGGAGACCTTTCTGCCATTCTTAACCGGGAAAATTCCCTGCTGGAGCTGCTTTTCCATAGCTATCCTTGGGGCTTTGTATGCTGGTCCATTTCCAGAAACGCTGTAAATACAGTAAATATTTAAATGAGTAGGACATTAGCATAGGAATCAAATCTATGTGCAAACAACATTCCATAGTATTTCTACACTGAGTTATTTTTCTATTTATTGGTGAACATTATTTTCTACAAAGTAACCATTTTATCATGCATGTACAAGTCAGTATAACTGCTGTATAGTGGCTACTTCTGAAACGCTCTGTTTAATTTTGTTATTTAAAAGTTTAAAAAAGCCGTAACAAGTAACTGTCTTATGTGAAAGCAGCAAAACAAAGGCAAATAGAGCATTTACGCCACAATATACCCCTTAGAACCTTATGATCCTTTGGAATTCGGCTTTAACATGGTTCATAGTCTTCCAACCAACACATTCCTAGTAGGTAAGAAATTAAAATTTGCAAACTGTAAAAACAGTTTTAATTTTATGTTTCAACACTTTTAGCATCCAATATTTACTCCTTCAAAAGTCTTTCCACTTGATTTCTGCTGAAGCAAGGCGTTCGGTAGGTGGCTAAGGGACGCAGTGGCATGCAGCTCAGTACAGCATTCTCAGTGTTCCCAGGCACTTCCTGCTTCTTCCTCCCCAGAACAGCTTTATGCTAATGGTGCATGCTTTGTCTTTTGAGGCTTCTTCGAGATTGTTTATTTTGCTGAGGTTCGTTAGGGATTCAGACATAAAGCATAAAGTAAACATAGACAGAAATTTTAGGTTAAAATTAGTCTTTCCACACCCTCTCTGCTACCTCTTTCTTACACAGTGATGTTGATGCCTTGGGAAAGGAAATGCCACTACATCACTTATCACTTTTCCAACTACTTATCTTAAACGCCGTGCTGTTATTTTTTTCATGTGTCTGGAAGCACAATTAATTTTGTTTTCTTCCTTTTTTTTGTTATTGCTTCTCACTTGTTTCTTGGCTATAAGATACTTAAACTTTAAAATGTATTAATTAAATTCTGAAGGACTAACTAAATACTTATCCTTATAGCCACACAAAAGTGTAGCTCTCAATCCTGCTCAAAGAATATTCTTTTTGCAGCAGATGGAGACTATTTCAGAAATCCACACCTGGTCAAAATGCAGAAAATAAGTGACTGTGGGGTAGTAAGCTTTACTTGATACAGTTGTAACACAACACCTCCACTCAGAGAAAAGTCACACAGTAGAAAAGTCACCGGTTGTTGGAGCTAGAGGAACACAGTACCTGCTGTGGGATATTGTCCCATGATAGGGAAACTATCCGTGAACTCTCAATACTAGGGCTGCATAAATAAGACCAGTACAAATGACACCAGTTGACATAACAACATGAATGGAAAATTTTTCACAAGACCTCATTTTCTAGTAGAAGAGATACAGACAATCCGTGGCTTCTGAAAAGAGGGAATCAGTTTTCTGAAAGGAAAACTCCCCTGGTGTGCTATGCAAAGCCACCTCATCAGCCCCAAACATACCAACACAAGAGTGACACTTAATAGACTCAATATGCATATCAGAACTCTACTGCCTGTAGTCTTTTGCTTTCGTTGAAGGAAATTTTTGGTATTCAAATTTTATTTTGATGACAGCATTTCTTTTTATAGTATTACAACCATCTCATATTTCTCTGCTGTTATGAATTTTAAATTACAAACAACACTTTAGCCATTACTTATTGCACAATTAGTTGAGATTATCTGTTCTCATTAATGAATACATAAAGTTTTATAATGATAGTGTATTCTATTATTGTGTAGAAATCAAATTTAGAAATTTTATAAAACAGTGAATTTTCCTTAATTGTTTCATAATGAAACCTATCTTTTTCCCCCTGTCACAACAATCTTCTTGCTTTGATAATCTCACTATGCCTTTCAAAATGGGTACTTTAGGCATATTTAATATCATTAATGGGGAGAAGTATTCAAACAAAATGTGTGGTCTGTTGAATGCTATTCCAGGACAAAGGAAAAGACCAAAGAGATATATTTAAGTGTTACTGAAGGGTTGACACAGAAGGACAAAGAACAACTATAGTGTGACCATGAGTTTTGTGTTGGTGACAAGGACATACCTCTCCACATTTGTGCCACTTTTAGGAGTACTCAGGATCTATGCTGCCTAATTTATAAATTTACTTTTCTGGAAAGCGAATCAATTTATTGTCCTTGGTATTATACTCAACATAACGTATTAAAATTCTAATGGGAGAATATTAGCATTTCATCTTCCAAATTGCAATAAACCAGGACATTTTGGTATTTCTAAGTTACGTTTCATTAATTTAAAAATACATATTTGGTTAGTTGTTTTGAGTGCATGAGCATATGTATATGGATGGTATACTATGGCACACACTGGGATGTAAAATAGATATATTATGAAATTGTTATTATAATAAAAACTTCTTGGTACATTCACCACAAAACATAATTACCTGTGTGTGTGTGTGTGTGTGTGTGTGTGCATTCCAATAATGTATCCAGATTCTAAAGCAAAGTAACTTAATAAATATACACTCTGCCTTCTATGGTGAAAAAAAAAAACTTGTTTCAAACAAACAAACAAAAAAAATATACCAAAATAGAATGATCTTGTTGTGTTTTATTCTGGTTATTATATGGGGAAAGTCTATTTTTAGAATCAATATCACTAATATTTTTCAAATGTTGCAAAATACCCATGAAGATGTACTGTACTGAGATTTTATAAAGAAGATTAAGTTCAGAAAGTTAGTACCTCCCAAACCAAGAGATGATTTTACTGGAAACCTCTGCTAATGAAGAGAAGATCAAAGCTAGTTGTTTGATATAAAGCACAAGCATCCTCACCACCACTAATTCATCTTTTCTACTGGAAGAATAATTCTATTTGTGTCATTCCATCTGGACAGTGTTAATTCCTCCAGAATTAATTGTAAGATGCAAGAGGTCAGATGTTAATAAATAGGCCAAGACATGACACCTAAAAAATATAGAATAGTCATGAAATGTCTTAAAGGCAGGGCCAGATTTGCCAAGATATTCAGCAAATATAACTGTAAAGGGTCAAACACAGGCTGTCTAGGAAAGGGACCATAAAACTATTAATTGTCATTTGTTTATTTTATTTTATTTTTATATATCAATCCTGCTGCAACAAAGAAAATCTTTAATAACTCTAAGTGGCTTCTATTAGGGCCTGAGGCTGTTTAAGCAAATAGAGCAGGTAGGTAATAGAAAGGAAGAAATAATCTTCATGATTTGAAGCTCTGCGGCTGAAAGCTGAATTTATCTTTTCTGTAACGGTGGGCACATTATGGCCTGTAGAATGGTTACATTTGAGTGTGTTTGGTACATAAGGTTTCCTCGTGGATACTCGAACATAATGGAATGGACATCTGAATCTGAAATACCGTACCTGGTAACCCCAGTGGCTTAGAAATTTAACACCAGGGTCGCCATCATTTCTGTTGCATCATCCTCTCATTGCCACCATCCTCAAGATGGCTCTGATCTTTTCGTATTCTTTCCCTTAGGGGGAAGTGAAGGTGTGGTAACTGTCACAGTAAAGACCAGCATAATAATGCGCATGAGGGTAACTCAGGTTTTCCGATAAACAAGGCGAATCTGTTCTGGTTTGTGAAGACTTCTATCAAGGATGTCTATCTTCCTCATTTACTATTATTTGATTTACTGACTCCTGTAACTAATCATGCAGGAACTCAAATGTGATCTAGATTTTTTTCCTGTCCACTGCGTTAAAGAACACAGGAATTACTCTTCTAAGCCTTGTTTCAGGATATCTTCTTTGTTATTACGACGAATCTAATGCTACGCTTGAATGAAATGAGTCCCTCATTGGATATACGGGTAGAAAGAACGTTACTCAATACGGTGTTCATTTTTCTGATTGTGTGGATCCTCCCAGGACAAGGTTTTTATGTTGACTCCATTTCTATATACCTGTAGCACAGTGCATTTAAGTCTCCTTTCTCTTACATTTTAAAAATTTGTGATGTTTTATATACATAATGTGAACTAACATGTTCTAAACACTGCGTATATGTAAATATTGTAAATTTACCACTATTTCCATTAGTAATTGCCCCAAATCACAAATATTTTCTAATGATCACATTTGAAGTTTAATGTTTTGTCATAATATAGCTAAACCATTCACTTTTGTTACTGCATATTGATTCCCATTTAAACAACAGAAATTTAAATTCTGGCAGAGCTATGAATTTAACAATCCACCAGGTTGCTGTCAAGCACATTAATTAGCTATCATAGTATTATACATTATGATTCATATTAGCACAATTCACAATCTGTACTGTTAATTGTATTCCAGGTAACAACTTCAAATCATTCAGTGGATGCAAGCTTGGTTTTGTTTTGTTTTTTTTTAACTGTCATTTTTCACTTACAAGTAAGTATTAGTGTAATGCTTGTTATGGTATAATTGCCAATTAAAATAGTACCGTGCAGTAAATTTTAACCACATTAATTATATTTTGCTCGTCTGCCAGACAATGATAATGTCATTTATTTTAGAGTCAAGTGTGTACAAGGAAACATATATTTTCTACCCATTGTTTTTTTATAGTTTTAAAAGCTATCATTCTAGATGCCTGAAGTGTTTGCCAGACACGGCAGTAGAGTTTCATATATTAATCCATAGTAGCTGGAACTGCACACACAATACTTGTACAAGATCAAGCTGGCCAAATTTCTAATGTACTTTGGGGAGGCAATCATGAGGCCTCATCCCCATTTAAGTAGCTCTTTTCAACTGATGGTTACTAGGATCATGGGAGTCAGCTTTCTTCAGGGATATAGTCCTATGAAGATGAATACTCTTGTTTCAGTAGATGAGAAGATGGTCCCACACATGCACATACAGACAGCAATAAATAGAAAGTATGTAACTATAGATTAGTATAGAGGGAATATTTGAAGTTGGTAAAGAAAAGTGGTAGGGGCAGAGAATTGGAGAGGATGGAATGGAGGTTGGAATTGATCAAAGATAGTATAATATAAACATCATATGCATGTATGAATATTAAATATTTTAAAGTTATGATTATAAAACTTATATTACAGAGGAATTAGTAATTAGCAATGTCAGAACAAGTCAAGCTAGGACAGATGCCATTTTATTAGGTTTGTGTTCAGGATCACTTCATTAAACAGAGTAATAAGTTAACAGCATTAGGAAGGAAAAAAAATCAAATTGCAAAATTATCAGTTTAAAGCCATTAACACTTAAAATTTTGCCTTCAGGCATATTTGTTGTTTGATGTTAACTTTATATTTTTGCAAAAAAACCCAAGTGGGTTCATTAGTGAAATTTCCCAGGAGATGGAAGAAGCATTCTGGACCACCTAAACCTTCCTTCTGCCCCTCCCCTGCTTCTTACCATTCAGACTGCTGCCTCAGCTCAGCCAGCTGGTGGAGTCGCTTAAGGGCTTTTTCCTGCTTCTTCTCATCTTTCCATGACTTGGAAGCTACGTTTCGAGCAAATTCTCGTTGCTTTAATTCTTTCAATCTCTGTGTGGAAGCATAAAACAGAAAGAATACTATAAATAAGTAAAACATGCTTTTCTGTCTATAAGAGTCTTTATCGAACATGGTGCTGGGTGAAAAGGTGTCTTTTGGGATATGGAGAGTAAAAACATTTCCTCCGATTTTTTTTCACTGTTCCAAGATAAATTTAGTAGATGAATGTAGTTGTTGACTGGGTTGTTCCTCAAAGTCTGTCAAAGTCAACCTCAAAGTGGGCTGCAAGGCAGGGACACAGTCGCTGTTGGAGTCACCTGACCATATAATGAATCACATGTGTGTCTGTGAAAAAAAAAATAGAACTGTGTACCGTGTGCAAAGGGAGAGAAAGCCAGAGGTTTTGTTCTTCTAAGCCCACCTGCACTAGCTCATCCCTGATAAATTACGCTCTGATTAAATGAAATTAATACAATGAATTCCTCTCAGGAAATTGGTTACATTACCAAATATTCATTCTAAGTGTGATTTTAAATTCATTTTTTGTTAGAGATACATACCAAATGCAGAGAATGATGAAAAAAAATTTAAATGGTCAGGAATTTAAATTCTGAATAGTGGGTTGGCTTGTTTTTTTGTTTTTGTTTTCATTTTTTCATTTAAATTAACCTGATACTCTTCTAATGACTTTTCTCTAAAACAACTTCTCTATAGCCAGATTAGGTAATTCTGATTACATGTTGGTTCTCTCTTATAGAAACAGCCATACAATATAGCTACCAGTTCAGAATAAACTGAGAAACACCATCATCTTATTTTTCCATATATAAATGTTGGAAGTTACTCTTATGGAGCTGTCTTCACTATAATCCTAAATTATAAAGCATGTGGACTCTGAGGAAGTACAAATACCAGGAGTGGGATATTCCTGACTTCATTCTCTACTTCTGACCAACCACAGCTATCAACTCCTTCATGGTCACAATGGTGATGCTTTAATTGGGAACCAGTGACCTTTTGTTGCTAATTTGTTATATTTTTGCCTTTTCTGAAAAAATTACAACTCAATTATTTTCCTTTCTACAGAGACATATGAGTGAATCCATATTATTTATAAGAAAATTTCAGTCTCTTAAATGGTGATGAAAACACACTTTGGATGTCCACAGTGTTCTTTGGTTGTAAAAGTCATAAAAATGAAATCTTTTCGGGGAAACAAAGAAACCTGGAAAAACCAATTTTGTATAACATCTAGCCAAATTCAGTTCAGCTGGTTGGAAGTGCTCAAGCTTGAAAGAAAGAAAGAAAGAAAGAAAGAAAGAAAGAAAGAAAGAAAGAAAGAAAGAAAGAAAGTCAGAACCAAATTGCTTTGCTTCATGTTTTTATAGCACATATCAATCCATCTGTGTTTAAAAAACAAAACAAAACAAAACAAAATCAAAAACTCAAACCAAAACTTCTTCAGGAGAAGAACCATGTAAGATATTAAATGAACTAGATCCAGGCATGCACATGAGGCCCCAGATCATCCAAGTTCTATCCAAGAGAACTGGGAAAATGTACGTAAGATTGAATAAAGAATTCAGGGAACTCTTTTTCAGTAGACAGTAATTAGCTCTGTTGAGTATTGCTTTGGCTTGCCTAACACTGATAAGAGCAAGGAATGAAAGAAAACCTTACAAGCTACTTAGCTGAGTGGCAGGCAATTATAAAAGAAACAACAAACCAAAACCCCAGAATAATTTATATAAGAAGAGGGGTAACTAACCTTAAAGATATTTTGAAAAAGTCCTAAGAAAACCTACCGCAGAAACTTCCTAAAATAAGTAGAATACATATTTTTCAGATGTAGCCCTTGGCAGCTCAGTCTTCAAGTGGGATCTCTAGTAATGGGAACAGGGACTGTCTCTGACATGAACTCAGTGGCTGGCTCTTTGTTCAGCAACCCCTTAGGGGAAAGCAGCCTTACCAGGCCACAGAGAAAGATAATGCAGCTACTCCTGATGAAACCTGATAGGCTAGGGTCAGAGGGAAGGGGAGGAGGACCCCCTCTATCAGTGGACTTGGGGAGGGACATGGGAAGAGATGAGGGAGAGAGAGTGGGATTGGGAGGGGATGAAGGAGGGGACTACAGCTGAGATACAAAGTGAATAAAAAAAGATAAAATGAAATATATAATATTTTCACTTAAAGAAAAAGAGGTTGAATGGTTCTGGTGGTGATGGCACAAGCCTTTAATCCCAGCACTCAGGGAGGGAGGCAGGTAGATCTCTATGAGATCCAGCCTAGTCTACAGAGTGAGTTCTAGGATAGCCATGGCTACACAGAGAAACCCTATCTCAAAAACAAACAAACAAACAAACAAACAAACAAAAAAGGAGTTTAAATGGAGTTACTCCATAATGGGAAAGGGACACAATGCTCTCACTAGACACCACAGGGTAGCAAATAAATAGACCAATAGCAGAAGTGTGTTAGGTTTTTGAGAGTTTGTCAGTAGGGTCCTATATAATCCTGAAAATTATAAACTAGTGTCATTGATCTAGAACTAGATAGAAAAACCCTATTTCTGAAGATACCACAACTTGAGTCATAGATTATGAGGAAACAAAGTTGGTATTGACCTATAAGTTTTATCACTACTGACTAACTTTCATACTTTGAAAGATGATATGCATAATTCAAGGAAGAATAATAAACACCCTTCTTATCCTGCTTTGAAATTATTGAGTTATGATGATTGGCATGGTGAAACATGCCCACTGGCCCAAAGGTGTGACTAATGTTATAGAAGTAAACAAACACTGTATGATTGGATTTAAGATCAGCTCCACAGGACTGAATCCACACATAGCATCCTCACTGAGGCCAAGAACATGCAGGGCTAGATATATTACATATATCTTTCTACTATTAGTCTGACAAATGATGTTTTTCTATATCCTTAAATTAGTTCACTACTCAACCTTCATCAAAAATATACTTCTTGTAGTAGATGATTATTAATGCAGAGACCCACATTTACTCAAGGTGCCAAAAATAAGAAATTGTAGAGTTCTCGGACATAGATGAAACAATTATGTTACAACCCTACCTGCAAGGCTCAGGGATATTGGAAGATCTTGTGCACTGTGTTTTCAGATGCTGATTTCAATTCCCTAAGATTTTGTTACTATCTTGCCAAAGTCATTGTTATGTATGTTGACCCATCCACTGTAACCAAGAGATGTAGGGAACACTCTCCAATGATTCCTGGTTGGCTAATAAAGTTTCTGACATCCTGGGCTGGGCAGAAGAGATGTAGGCACAGTTGACTTTCCTAGGGTTTGAGTTCAGAGGAGGATCACAAGGAGGAGAAGGAGGAAGACAGAGACAGAAAAGAGATAGGAGGTGCCATAGAGTAACTAGGATCACATTGGCCAAGAGCCTCTTGCTATGAGGACTGGCCTGATGGATCAGAAGCAGCCCACAAGGAACATATGCATGTATTTTGGAATTTATGCATGCATTTTGGAATTTGGATGGAAAGCAGACAAAATACCTTAGAGAGTTGAGATATCTGATCAGCTCTAGTGCTTTAAGGCTTATTATAAATCAAACAAGTTTCTGTGGTTTTAATCTGGAAAATAGCTGGTTTATGAATAACTGCTACCATAATAATTTCCTGTATTAATTAATAAAAACAGAATAATTAATTACTTTTACATAATTCATCTTATACAAGGATCATCACAAAGAAAAGGAGAAAGTATTACAATAACCTGAATCTATAGAGGAATTTTAATCTAGCAACATGGCTACTCTGGCAAGGGCTTACAACCAGAGACCCAGGTCAGTGTGATCTGGCTGAAATACAAATACATGCCTAAGTATAAATTTTAATCCTTCTGCCTGGAATATAGCCATGTCTTTAGTATATATCTTTAATTTCTCTGGCTATAATATACACTTTTAATCCCTTGGCTGGAATACAGATACACCTTTAGTATACACCTTTAATCCCAGACAATGACATCTAATTGAGGGACAAAGAGAAAGAGTTGACAAAGTGAGTCAGAGAGAGGGTTATGCCCAACTTTCAAAAGAACAGGAAAGAGAAGCTACTTAAAAGCAGCAAAGAGAGCAACCTTGCCAGGCTACAGAGGAGGAAAGTACAGCCATTTCTGATAAGACCTGATAAACTAGGGTCAGATGGAAGGGGAGGAGGACCTCCCCTATCGGTGGACTTAGAGAGTGGCAGGGAGGAGATGAGGGAGGGAGGGTGGGATTGGGAGGGATTGAGGGAGGGTGGGATGGGAGGGATTGAGGGAGGGGGCTACAGCTAGGACACAAAGTGAATAAACTGTTAATATAGAAGTATTTTTTTTAAGTTTTATTTTTATTTTTTTGTCTCTTTTTCTTTTTCTCTGAGATCTGAGGACTGAACCCAGGGCTTTATGCTTGCTAGGCAATCACTCTACCGCTGAGCTAAATCCCCAACCCCTACCCTCACAAAAAAAATAAAAATTTAATTAAAAAAGTTACCCCTGACTACAAGATGTGCAGGGATGAAAATAGAGCAGAGATTGAGGGAATGTCCAACCAATGCCTGGCCCAACCTGAGACCTACCCCAATGGGAAAGAGCCAGCCCCTGACACTGTTAATGATACTTTGCTATGCTTGCAGACAAGAGCCTAGCATAGCTTTCCTCTGAGAGGCTTCATCAAGTATCAGATTGAAACATATGTTAGGACTCACAACCAAATATTGGCAAAGCCTAGAGAGTCTTGTGGAAAAGTATGTGTGGGAGGGAAGGATAGTCTTCTCCATCTCTTAGTTTTGTCTCTTTCAAATCTTTATCATTATATAACACTGTTCTATGTATATACCAAGTCATCATCTTTGTTTTGAGCTCTGTACTGTCCAATAGTCATATGACAAAGCCCATTTTTCTTTAATTAATGTTTACAATGACAATTTTTCTTTTTAAAATGCTATGCAGCCAATCTTCATGAGACCGGGTAGCCTACGGCCAGATGGAAGGGGAGGAGGACCTCTCTTATCAGTGGAC